TTTTAGTTTCGTTTTGTCTTTTTTTCTTACATACCTAGAATATAATACCTTAACTAAAGTGAGAAAAGCAAATATTATCAACAGTAGTAACATTCTAAAGTTTGTTTTAAGATATTGTGGTAGCCTTACATAAACAGTATTTCACCTTTTTCTTTTTGTGTAGGACTTTTCAGAATTACATTGATCTTTCCCTTAAGTCGCCAGGAGGTCCCAGTCCACTCCCAAGGACAGCTCCTCTCCACTTCCCATCACAGGGCGGGATTTCTGCTTTGCATCTCATTCCTCTTTCTGATTTTAAGTCACACACACAGATTTTTTCATGTGAATTAGGAAATTTACAATTGATAACCATTAACTACACACATTTTAGATGGAAAAATAATTCTGTCTTATATTCTTACTAAATTTTAAATCAGTCTTTGAGGTTTGAGATACTTATCCTCATTATTAGTGAGCTGCTATTGCTTCAGAATTGTTCTTTTATAGTCCAGGTTGGTCTTTGGTCATTTCTATAATCATCATACTTTACTTCCTAGCATAACATTTGCTTTGTGTGTTATTTTGTCAGAGTTCCCAGTTTTTTCTATGAAAATATTTTCTACAAGTCATTTTTTTTTCATCCTCACCCGAAAACACTTTTGCATTTATCTTCAGATAGATCGGGAGGGAGAGAGGGAGAAAGAGAGCGAGAGAAACATTGACATGAGAGAGACACATCAACTGACTGCCACCCACACAACCCCAACCAGGGCCAGGGACAAACTGCCACCAAAGTACGTGCCCTTAATGGGAACCAAACCCTGGTCTCTCTAGTCCACGGGCCAACACTCTAACCACTGAGCCAAATCGGCCAGGACTACAAGTCATTTTTTTTTTTTCATATAGCTAGTAATACCTCCAATACTTTCAGTATTTCTAAAAACATTTTTCTGTTGTGGTGACTTAATATCGTTATTTAATATTTTCAAAGCCTGATCTATTTAGAGCTTGTTTCCTCATCTTTAAGAGTAAATGTTATTCATAATTTTGATAGCTCTAAATTTGGAGGACAATTTCTTATAAGATTTGATAAGATCATCATTATGTTTGACCTATAAAGTGATTAACGAAGAGATACAGCAAAGCAAGTCAACTTTTCTATTATGTTGTTTTCATATGTTCACATTATCAGAATTATCCTTAATTTTTAAAACTATCTTTCTATTTTATGAAAGCTAATTCAGTGAAAACCAGATAATACAATCAGAGAATCCTTCTAATTGGATACCTACCAGCTAAAGGACGTGAATGTGCACTGAATCCAGAGATTTGCGAGAGGCTGCCTGTGTCCATTCCCTATTGCTACCATAATAAATCATCACCAACTTGGTGACTTAAAACAAATTTGTTATCTTAAAGGCCTGGGAAGTTAGGATTATTAAATGGGTCTCACTGGGCTAAAATCATGTTGGCAGGGTTACTACATTCCTTCAGGAGTCTCCAGAGAAGAATTTATTTCCTTGCCTTTTTCGGCTCTTAGAGGCTGCACACATTCCTTGGCTGGTGGCCCCTTCCTCCACCTTCAAAGCCAGCAATGGCTGGTCAAATCTTCCCCACCCTGCATCACTCTGACTCTGGCCCTCCTGCCGCCACCTTTCACTTATAAGGATCCTTGAGATTCCATTGGGCCCACCCAGGTAACCCAGAATTATCTCCCCGTTTTAAGATGCTTAATCACTTCTGCAAAGTCCTTTTTGTCAGATAAGATAACATTTACAGGTTCCAGGGGTAACTTGAACATCTTTGTGGGGCAATTATTCTGTCTGTTACAATGCCTCCAACATCTGTTTCGTGAGGAGGACCCCATGCTCCTACTCACTCGTGCAGGGTCGGTAGTGTGCATCCTACTTTATAAACTACAAAAGGCTAATTAGCACCTGACCAATGATTTCTTTGGTTTCGGCTGGAACTCTTCTCTTCCTGGGGCAATGGTCTGTTTCCATGAAGTCTGTAGGGCAACAGAAAAAAATGTGAAAAAGAAACAGCTTTATATAAAGCATTCATTGCTCTCCATGGCATTAATATAAGGGAACACTGATCTAAGGGAATCGAATACAAATATGCAATCTTTATCACTAACATAACCTATAGAGTCTTTAAATAAAGCTAGTAATACTGTGGACAGTGTGCTGTGCTATAGTTCTCAAAACAATAATTATGTAAACAATTATTTGTAAACAATTAATTTGTAAACAATTCCTTCAGGCTTCCTTACTGCTGTTAGGGATTCCAGTCACACTTGACCACAATGGTCAGGTTTGCAAGAACACCCTCACACAACATTGCCTTGGTAAGCCTTGCTACTAGACCCTCCACATTGGCAGGGGCCTTGAATACCAACTCTTCCGCGTGATATAAAGACCCCCTGGGTTTCTAGGCTTATGATTTTTTTTTTTTAATGAGGATCTAAATGGTAGCTAGCACCTTTGGATTTGCACTAGGAGACACTGAGTGCCAGAAAAAATACACTATGTTCTTTTTCATGTTCCTCTCTTTTGGCTGCTAATAATGCATCACGCTTAAATCTACTTCTTCACAAAAGAACATTCTTGTCAAGTTATAACTACATCCACGAGCAAGGAAGATGCAGCTATTATTTACCAGGTTATGCAGGCTTCCTAACAATGCTCAGGAATTGTATTTCCAATGTTTAGGAAAAAATGGTGCTTTTTAAGTAATGACAAATGTTAAACTATTGCAACCAAAATAAAAACCCAATATAGGAATACTCTGTGCTTACAGCTTCCTCGTTTAAATAATCCTTAGACATTTTTCACTATCTGCAAATCCCTGCTTGGCTTTATCAGATAGCTTGGCAAACTGCTGCTGCTTTCTCCCATGGCACTGCTGGCAATGTTGCCCGTTAATAACGACCTTGTACCGACTGGTGTAGTTTAAGTGATTGGTTGTATCAGAAATCGTGATTTTCTAGAACGATTGCCTCTGGTTTTTTGTTCCTGTTTCATCAGAATCTCAGCAATTTTTATCCTCAAGAGCAAGCCTCTTTCTCCAGGCTCTGCCTGGTGTTCTCTCAGACCAGGCCTCCGACTGCCCTGGGGTGCCCCAGCCCTATTGTATTTCCTTCTTCAACTTTTCATAGATGATTAATTACTCGAACATATCATAGAATCTTGGATGAATTACTTTTCCTTTTATAACTGAGAGAGAAACTGATTCAGGCAATAAAAGTAGAGAATCTCCAACTTTCAAGAAAAGTATGAAAACATCTTACTCGATCATATTGTTTATATATGACATTTTAACAAGTTGTCACGTCTCTTAGGGAACATCTTTCAGACCAATAATAGAATAGTTATTTGACCAACTGAATCAAACATCACCTTGTTTCTATTCCTAAATAACAATAGGCACCACATATTGACCCCTTTTATGTTTCTGAAACATCTCTATGTGCTTTACATTTGTGACCTTATTTAATCCTGTGTCATACCAGTGAGGAAAACATTATTTGCCCCATTTTACAGAGGGAATAATTAAGACTCTTGCAGAATAAATAATTTGCCAAAAAACATGCACCTCGTAAGAAACCACAATACCACACTCCCTCCCAGATACTAATTTGATTTCATTCACTTTTTCTTACCACCGTTTCTCAGCAATATGGCTAACAGTGCTTGCCTTTTACAATCTTGCAAGTATTCTCTGAGATGATTTAATGCTCCTTAATTGTTTGCTTAATGCCTCATTTCCTCTCTGATGATAATCCTTTGTCTGATCCTCATTATTGGGGAAATTCCTCATATGGAGAAAGCTGCAGCTATATTTATTTCTAGCCACTTATGCACTTACTATTTCATCTTTGGTTTTTAGTTGGGCCTCTGGAACTGAAATGCACCCCAAATAGAAATGGGGGGAAAAAAATCTCTCTTAACAGATTTGGAGGCTTTTCAATGTAATCTTTTCTCCACAAAAGCTCAGCTTAGGTTTCAATAAAGCTGTTTTTAATAGGGTTCTATCAGAACAGTTCTTGCTTATATATCATTGATATTTTTAGTTTGGGTCGCTTATTATAAAGAGAAACTAAATTGATCTCTTGATGTTTTTTTATATTTGGCCCTTTCTCACCTGATTTCAACATCTTCTCCATATTTTATGTTAGAATATTTAATAAAGCCCTGGGCAGGTAATTCAGTTGGTTAGAGCATCGTCCCCATATGCCAAGGTTGAGGGTTCTATCCCCAGTCAGAGCACATACAAGAATCAACCAATGAATGCATAACTTAGTGGAACAACCAATCTCTCTCTCTCTGTCTCTCAAATCAATCAATAAAAATTTAAAAAGAAAAGAATACTCAATAATAAATATACACTTGACATATTTTTGTAAAGCTTTGTACACTAGTCATCAAATGATACTCACTAGTGGTGGAGAAAGCACCTAGGAGTTTCATATCATAGAGCTTTTCCTAGTACACAGTCAGAAGTTCTGAGTCTGCTCATCGCACCAGTCCCCAGAGCTGGATCAGAGTTCTGCAACGGAGACTTGTTCATCTAGAGTAGCTGCCTCATTACAGATTAGGCAACAAAGACCAAAATAATTTAATAATAGTGAAACACCTTGTGAGAGAAGAATCAGGACTCAAATCTAGGCCTTCTGATTCATAAATTAATAGCATCTTAAGAAAAATTAAAAACTTAGAGAGAATTGGGCCTAACTTCTTTTTCTTATTTATTTTCTTTACTACATATCTAAAAATTGATCATTTAACCTTTGACTTTATCTAGAGTTTTCTCCAAAATATCATACTCTCCTAGTAATAACATACTGGTTTTTTGAGGAGAAAAGAAATACCCTTGAATTTTAAAATGCCTCACATTTTTATCAGCATCACATAGTGACTACGTGTCAGTCTATGGAACTGGAAGCATTGTTTTCTCCCTGAAGGTCCTGGCAAGAGACGTTCTGTTTTATAGATACCCCCGGTTACAAATCAGTGTGCAGATTTACCTGGCAGAGGACATACCACGATCAGGAAGGTGGTTTTCCAGAGCAAGGCTGACCCACTGCACTCTACGTGTGCTGACTCCTGCGATTTCCCCAAATGTGGGAAACTCAACTGCATAATTTGTGGTAATGGAGGACTGCGCTCATGCTTTCCTTTGACAAAAGAAAAAAAAATTTAATATGAGAAATGTCCTTTGATTAATTCCTCCAACACATCATCTTTGACCCAACTGAAAAATGAGAGGATAGTGTTGTTTAAGTCCATTTAAACTTCTTGCAATTCATTTAGAATGATGCCAATTCACATTCTGTACTCCGGTGCTGGAAACAGTGATTGGAGTGACTCCTGGTCAGCCTCCATGCTTGTACCTGTAAACAGAGTTGAAATCAACCTCTCTGCTTTCACCAAGATGGCCAAACCTACACTTTTTCAAGTCTTGCCAAGTCAGCTGTGATTCCAGACTTGGTTTCATCCCTTTAGAACTAGGTCTTCTTAGCTTGCTCTTCTCACCTGTTCGTATGATTATGGAGACGAGACTATAGTGCAGGCTCAGCAGAGCCCTTCTCCGTTCTTCCTAGGCACAAGTGTGTGAAGCCAGGTCACTGCCATTCATTCTCTCTGGGTCCCCACCCATTTGTAGATGTGGGTTAGGCCCTGAGGCACAGTTCACAGATGGTCATTTTATCATTTTCTGCATTTAACCCTAAGCAATTTAAAGTGAGGTTTTTGGTTTGGTTTTGCTCATATTGTGCTTTAGTAGTCATCTAGAGATACCAAATCAAGATCTCCAGCCAGTCTGACTTGTCATGCTGCTAGCCTAATGCTACCAGAGAATGTGAGTATTCACCATCAACGAGAGATATCAAAGCCACAAACCTCAACCAAGAGCTCTTGTGAGAAACTGCTATGCTAGTCTTTTGGGAAATAATTCAAGCTTTATACTGTTCTCTGGGAAATAGCTCCACAACCTAATAGAAGTCAGAAAACCATAATGACACTGCATGTCCCGCTTGGCCTTCTTGAAGGAGCCAACGCAACAGAGAATTCACAGGCAACATCTTGTTTCCTATAAACTCTACAATGTGTACTGCACATGTGTCATTTGGTGATCAGTGAGGGACTGATCGCTTACTGACAGGGTTGGCTGAACGATGGGGAATGATAAAAAATGACAGATGGCAACACCATGCTTTCCCGGTGTTTGTGCTCAGTCCCGCATGAGACTCCAGGTGTCAAGCGCCTTAGTCCAGAGCTGTGTTTCTCTAGCAGTAAAAATTAGTATTAATTCTCACAACAAAAGGAATGATAATGTTGTCGCACAAATCCTTTTATGATTACAGAGAACTTGCTCTTTATTATGTTAGGAAGGCCAACTAGTACAGAATTAAGGGATAATTATAAGAGAATGGAGGTCAACAAGAGTTTCTGTGAAAATGTAAAAATCTCCTGGAGAGAAATGAGAAAATGACATTTGTGGCAAAGACACAGGGGCCTTGTTGATCAAGAACACTATAGTCACAACTTAAGCCTGGACCACCGTGATGGTCACAGCTGTTCTTGTTCACTGACCTCTTTTGTGAGCTGGGGATTGCCCCCAACATACGGAATCCAGGACACATCCCACACATGAATTTCCCATGCAAATATCCTACACACTGTGATATATAAAAGAAACATGCTTACACTTTCCTTTGCTGAAGTTTTGTTCTATACTTGTTTAGAAAAAAAGCAGCTTCTAAGACATTTTGGAAGAGGAAAAGACTCTATTTTAAAAATATGTTTTTATTGATTTTTAGAGAGAGAGAGAAACATCGATGTGACAGAGAAACATTGATCAGCTGCCTCCTGCATGACCTCTACTGGGGATTGAGCCCTCAAGCCAGGCTAGTGCCCATACTGGGAATCAAACTGGGACCTCATAGTCCATGGATTGCACTCAATCCACTGAGCCACAGCGCCGGGCAAAAATATCCTATTTTAAATCTTCTATGAGGGCTTCCAATCCAGATGGAGGCATAGGTAAATGCGGTACTTGCATCCTCCCATGACCATATAAAAATCACAATTAAACTATAAAACAACCATCTTTCAGATCTGCCTGAAATCTAGCTGAATGGAAGGCCTACAACTAAGGATATAAAGAAGCCATATTGAGACTGGTAGGAGGGGCAGAGACACAGAAAGGGCTGGACTGGTCCCACACCCACTTGTGGTGAATAAAAATTAGTAGGAATATCTTGGCTGTGACGGTCCCCCCTGAGTAGTGAAGGGTCCAAGCCCCATACCAGACCACCCAGCTCAGAGTTCCAGTGCCAGGAAGAGAAGTCCCCATAACATCTGGTTGTAAAACCAGCGGGGATTGTGACTGAGGGAGATGGAGGGCTTCTGGAGTCCCAGGCAGTTTCTCTCAAAGGGCCCACACACAGACTTACTTGGATTTACTCCCTCTGAGCTCCAGCACTGGGGTGGCAGCTCAAAGGTACCAGGAACAAACAGGAAGAAACTGTCCTGTATGGCATCAGGGGAGAACTAGAGGGGTAGCTTTCTCTCAGACAGAAGTGTTGGCAGAGGCCATTGTTTCTTTCCAGAGCCCTTCTCCCACAGAGCAGGCAAGTGGGGATCATATCTGAGTCTCCATTAATGTGGCTAACACTGTTCTCTCTGCCCTAGTGATTCTCTAAGACCTCACCCCACCCAACTTTTGGGCCCACCCAAGCTGTTTCCAGTGACTTTCCCATGTAAACGACTTATCTTGGCTCATACTTCAGACTTTCCTAAAATCTCTCAAACAAGTGGCATCTGGCCTCACCATGCTCCACACCTCTCAGTGGCTGCAGGCCTGGCATTAGCAACAGCCAGTCTTGGTTTGCAGCTTGGCCTCTCCTGGGCACCTCCAAGCCCAGCACAGAAGTAGCCACTGCAGATCACTTTATAGCTCATGCCTGGTGGCCCTGGGCAGAACACAGGCAGCAGCTGACCTTGGCCTGCACCATCCAGGAGGCCCCAGAGCCAGCATGTGTGGTGTACAGCTTCAGATCAGGTCAAAACACCACCAACCACTGCCACAAGCGACACATTCAAGGAGCAGACTCAGAGGGCAGCAGAGCCCCACTAAGCAAGTCCTTCCCCATGGATAGGCCCCTGCACAGCTGATCCTCAATGGTGCCAGAACTTGCAACTGATTGACCTGGGAGTAAATCCCTCCCAGTGACATGCCATCAGCGATCAAGGCTCAACTACAACAGGAGGGTGTACACAACCCATGCAAGGGGTTTACCTGGAGTGCCCAGCTCAGGTAAACAGGGAGGCTACCCATTCACTGGACCCTACAGGACACCTACTACATAAGGCCACCCTACCAAGCCCAGGAGACCTACCAGCTCTACCTAATACATAGAAACAAACACAGTGAGGCTGCCAAAATGAGGAAACAAAGAACGTGTCCCAAATAAAATAACAAAACAAAATTCCAGAAAAAGAACTAAACAAAATGGAGACAAGCAATATACTAGATGCAGAGTTCAAAACAATGGTTATAAGTATGGTCAATGAACTTAGGGGAAGAGTAGATAAACTTAGTAAGAAATTCAACAGCCTAAAGAAAGACATGAAAACCATAAAAAGGAACCAGTCAGAAATGAAGGATACACTAACTGAAATGAAGAATAGTTTACAGAGAATCAACAGTACAGAAGATGAAGCCAAGATTCCAATCAGCAACTTGGAATTCAAGGAAGCAAAAAACACCCAATCAGAACAGCGAAGAGAAAAAAGAATTAAAAATAAATAAAAATAATGTAAGGAGCCTCTGGGACAACATCAGCTGTACCAACATTTGCATCATGGGGGTGTTGGAAGGAGAAGAGAGAGCAAGAAATTGAAAACTTATTTGAAAAAATAATGATGCAAAACTTCTCTCACCTGGTGAAGGAAATAAATATACAAGTCCAGGAAGTGCAGAGAGTCCCAAACAAGATGAACCCAAAGAGACCCACACCAAGACACATCATAATTAAAATGCAAAAGATTAAAGACAAAGAGAGAATCTAAACAGCAGCAAGAGAAAAGCAGTTAGTTACCTACAAGGGATCTCCCATAAGATTTCCAACTGATTTCTCAACAGAAGCTTTGCAGGCCAGAAGGGAGTGGCAAGAAATATTCACAGTGGTGGAAAGCAAGGACCTACAACCAAGATTACTCTACCCAGCAAAAGCTATCATTTATAATAGAACATATAGCTTCCCAGATAAGAAACAGCTAAAGGAGTTTATCACCACCAAACCAGTATTACATGAAATGTTAAAGGATCTTCTTTAAAAAAATAAATAAATGTGCTTAATAAAATGGCAACAAACACATATCTATTAATGATTGAATCTAAAAAACAAATAAATGAACAAGCAGAAAAGAAACAGACTCATAGATACAGAGAATATTATGACAGTTATCATATAAGAGAGGGAGTTGAGAGGATGGGTAAAAATGGTAAAGGGATTAAGAAATACATACTGGTAGTTACAGAATAGTCATAGGGGTGTAAAATATAACATAGAGAATATTGTCAATAATATTCTAATAACTATGTACGGTGTCAGATAGGTATGAGATTTATTGAGATGATCACTTAGTAAGTTATGTAATGTCAATCACTAGGGTGTATACCTAAAACTAATATAATATTGTATGTCAACTGTAATTGAAAAATAAAAATGGCCCAGCTGACGTGGCTCAGTGGTTTAGTGTCGACCCATGCACCAAGAAATCACTGGTTTGATTCCTGGTCAGGGCATGTGCTCAGGTTGTGGGCCAAATCCTCAGTGGGGGGCACACAGAGGCGGCCAATTGATGTTCTCTCTCATCGATGTTTCTATATCTTTCCCTTCCTCTCTCTCTAAAATCAATAAAGAAAAAATTTAAAGAAAAATGATTTAAAAAAATAAGTAAAATACTTGGCCTCTACAAAAAAAAAAATAAGTATTCTATAATATTTGAGAATAAAGTTGAATATTATAAATAATCTATCAGAGCATTGTAATGTTGATTCTTCCCTGATTTGATTTCATATTCTTTCTAATTCTTATCAGGAAAATAATTTAAATGCATTATATTCAAATTTATAAAGCAATTATTTAATGTTGCAGGGACTACAATGATAAA